TGAACAACGTGTGAGCCTTCGAGCTCCACCAGCTTCATGGAGTGGCCTTGGAACCGGAAGTTGATGGAGGTCCTCAACCCCACATTGCAAACCCTAAACCTGTAGGTCTTCCCTTTCTCCATGGTCGCAATGGGCTCGAGCTTGTCCCCCACGCTGCCGTGCTTGGCATTGATAGTGATCCCGTTAGGCCGGGCAATAGATCGACCTTCGGTGAGGAGTTTCTTCAGTCCCTTGTGGCCCTTATTGTACCAATCACTGAGAAAGATGTGGAATTCATCGGCGGGCCAGTCGAAGGGGACGGGGATGAGGGGACGGCTGTGAATGGTGAGCGGGCCATAGCCACCGGCAGCGCGTAGCATGCCGGTGGAGGGGAAGTAGAAATAAGTGCCGATCTGATCCTTCACCTGGAAATGATAGGTGAAGTTGGTTCCGGGCATGATAGGGCAATTGGTTCCGGGCATGCCATCTTGCCAAGAATTCTTGCGGTGCTGGATCCCATTCCATTGGAACAGCAAAGGCTCATCCAACTCGTTAAACACATTAACCACAACGTTGTTATTGGAAGTGGCATTGATCCTAGGACCCGGCAATTTACCATTGATGAGAATAGCTTGTTGGGGGACACCAAAGGGGGAGATGGTGCCGAACGTCACTTTCCACTCGAAGAAAAGGTAGGGATCCTCCGCCTGCACCACCACCGCCGCGACGGAGAGACACAACAACACCGTAACCGCCACCCATGGGCTGCTCTTCTTCATTTGATATTATTATTTTTTTCGCTGTGGGATTTTTTCTGTTTTGTTTTTTTTTTTTATTGGATCTGAAGAAGAGGGGTTGCTGGCTCTCAGTTTTTTTGGGTTGTGTGTTCTCCATGTCCACCATCGCCGTTCTTATACCTTGCTCCATTCATCACTTCACCACTGGTTAGTCGTAACTCCCTCCACCCCTTTTTGTGGCTCACCCTACTTTTAGACCTATTTTCTCTGCAACTTAAATTTGACATTTTCTTGCTTTTCTTTGCCATCCATATATATAGTATTTGATATTGAAACTATTCTAGATAAAGATTTAATAATTAAGAGGTAGTAAAAATTGAAAAGAGATAGAAACAAATTGGCCAAATATATAGTATGGACCCATCCAAAAAAAAAAAAAAAGTTAGGGGAGAAAATAGAAAATTTATTAATTATATTCATTTAATTTTACAATTACAACGTAAAAAAAAAAAAAAACATTTTAAAAAATACAATTAAATTTGATGAATTTATGATTTTTAATGAGTATAAAGAACAATTACTTTCATGTTTACCACCCCTCTTCAAAAAAATGCATTTACAAGTAATATATGGACATCTTATATTGGAAATGCATCATACGTGTACGTTACATAGTATTAGATTGATAATGAATGGAGTTTACATAAAATAATTTTAAATTTTTTTAAGAGTTAATGAATAATTTGGTCCCTCAATTATTAGCGAACTGTCAATGTAGCCCCTCAATTGCTTATTCATCGATTTGGTCTCCGAAAATAATTATTTTTAGTTGATTTAGTCCCTCAGGCAGTCTTCCGTCGATGGCTAGAGGGACTAAATCGACTCAAAATAATTGTTTTCGGGGACCAAATCGACGGTCGGAGGGACTAAATCGACTAAAAATAATTGTTTTCGGGGACTAAATCGATGAATAAGCGATTGAGGGACTACATTGACAGTTCGCTAATAATTGAGTGACCAAATCGTTAATTAACTCTAATAAAAAAAAAAAAAAACTTGATTATATTGGCTTTATACCATAACGTTAATAATTATATTCTATTTTATTTATTATGGACATTATTATTAGTTTTGTAATGTTTGTAACGGCTATATCATTAATTCACTACTTAATTATGTTGTATATATTCTCCTGTGTATTGGAATAAGATAAGAAGATGGATGTGGCTCCCAGGGCTTATTTTGTTCTTTATCTTTCCTCTACTACTCTTTATCTACATTTGTTTTTGATCCATATGTTTGAGCTAATGGCCTAATCACAACATGTTATAAACATGAATTACACGCAATTTATATCGTGCACCAGGGCGCCCAAACTTCTTTAAAAAAAAATCTCATGTTTCGAAAATGTACATAATTGTATAATAGAATATACATAATTGTATAACAAAATACACATACTCTTTTTTGAAAAGATAATACACATAATCTAACATAATATATAATACACATAAATTTCATGTTTCGGATATACATAATTGTATTAAAAAAATGTACATAATTGTATAACATAATGTACATAATGGTATAACATAATGTACATAATTATATAACAGAATACACATGCACTCTGTCGCGTCAACTCTCCACACAACTTAACAAATCGTCGTCATTTTGGGAGGCGCGGGGTGCACAGTGCTATGTGCGCCGTGGTGCACGGTATAACGATTGTGAACTACATCTTTGGCGAACAACAACAATGTTCTTGATGCAATAGTGCAATGTAAGAATCAAGTAATCAACTATGGTTGGAGGTACACTCATGTTCGATCTATGCTTATCTCTACCTATACTAGTTGCTTATATTGCATGATATATATTTTTTATATGTAATTTATATTTGTTTGGAGTTTTGTATACATATTGAAATGTGCAAGCATATATTGATATATGCATATGAATGCTTGCAATTTACCAACTATAATGTTTGGTATATATTTACTTTCGAAATACATATATTGTTGAATATATATAAATATTTTTTGAAATACCTTCGAGATTATTGTCATTGCCGGACTGAATTGTGCGATTTGCTGGAGATGACATGTGTCATCCATGGTTACTACTGCATCTCCTTGTTTGCCTAGGGGGGATGGAGGGTTGCCAGCATCTACACTGTTTCCGACGATGGCGTGCGGTGATCTAGTACGCAAAGTAGAATAAGAAAGAAATGAGGTGAAACTTTGGAAGAATGATCAGGCATTGAGTCTCACCAGTGGTAGTGTGGGAGCAACCTCACAAAGTGAGAGGGGGGTGTTTCTTGTGCGCAGTGAGCACAGTCTAGCTTTTGTGGTTCATGTTCAGTTGAGTTACCATTATTTACATCCTCTCAAATACTCTGTCGGGTCGGGGTGTGGGGCCCTTAGGATTGGAGTTCAGCCTTTTGGAAGAATTAGAAAGAAATAAACTTTGCATAATTAAACATAGTAATGCATACTCTATTACCTTTATTTATAATTATTGCCATAAAATTAGTTGATGGTAATCTATATATATGCATTCCCATTTCGTGCATAATTGGTGGACACGAATGATTATGGTGGTTTATATATGATTATAATATCTACTTGTTCATTGCGTGATTATTATATTGCTTTATATACAATGTCATATCTCATATTGCAACAAACATACCTTTTTAATTGCAATCTCATTGTTTGACTTACCAATTACTATTATATTATATATATATATATAAAAATATTACATGTACTCTTATTTTCTATTTCCAACTTTTACTCTCACATACAAAATCTTGATGTAGACAGTTGTATTGCGATCTACATGAAAAAAGTAGTCTATCAGTGTTCGCCACATTAGGAAATAAAATTTAGGAAGTATGATTTAGGAGTTTATGTAGTAGAATTCTATATAAAATTTTGTAGTATGGCAGTAAATGTTGGAAGAGTTGAAACTCTGTAGATTCTATTCAAAGCTAAGATGGAAAGTGAGAAGGTAGCAACTGGCATTGATCACCATATTGTTCTTACAGCCGGAAAAGGGAAAGAGAACAAAGCTTATATATGCAGGACTAATTGAAGACCTAGCAGTTATAACAGAAACAGTTATGACAGAAGGAAAATACAAGAATGCCCTTGGCATTGGTCCACACTGTATCATGCACTTCATCACCCCCCTTAAGCTGGTAGGGGTGTGCAAACTTCGGATAATTTTCGGTTAACCGACCGAACCGACAAAGTTCGGTTAACCATTTTCGAACCGAACTTTTTCGGTTCGGTTAATGGTTAAAGGAATTTTAAAATTTCGGTTAACGGTTAATTCGGTTCGAAAGGTCGGTTAACCGAATTAACTGAACGGTTAACCGAAGTTTTTAATATATATATATATATATATATATATATATATATATATATATATATATATATATATATATATATATATATATATATATATATATATATATATATACTAATTTGAAGTTATGGATGTTTGGAGTTTATAATTCATGTTTTTTATATTTTGTTATGAATTTATTATGATATGTATTTTATTTTAATTGGATTTATTAGTTTAGGTGTTATTTTTAGAATTTTAAATTTTAGCTTTAAAAAGTTCGGTTAATCGGTTAACCGAAAAAAATTTCGATTCGGTGAACTCGGTAGAGCAAACTTCGGTTCGGTTAACGGTTAAAGTAAAAAAAACTTCGGTTAAAACGGTTCGGTTAACCGATTGAACACCCCTATAAGCTGGAGCATGAACATCTTGAAGGCCCAGCTTAGAGTGGAAAGTGTCAAAAGCTGGCTTTGGCAAGGCTTTTGTGAAGCCATCTGCAGTCTGTTGAGATGAAGGAATTGGCAGCAGTCTGATCAGCCCTTCTTGCACCTTTTGCTTGACAACATGACAATCTATCTCAATGTGTTTGGTACGCTCATGGAAGACATGGTTCTCTCCAATGGCAATTGCAGATTGATTGTCAAAAAATAGACTTGTTGGCTTATCAAAGATTACATTCAAGTCTGTTAGTAAGTATTGCAGCCATTGAATTTCACAAACAGTGGAGGCTAGGGCCCTGTATTCTGCCTCAGAGGAGGACCTTGACACTGTGGGTTGCTTCTTGGTCCTCCATGAGATCAAAGCATCTCCAAAATAGATGCAGTAACCAGTTACAGATTTCCTTGTTTCTGTGCAATTTGCCCAGTCAGAGTCTGAGAACCCTTGTAATCTGATCTAAGTGTTTGTGGGATAGAATAGACCTTTTCCTGGAGATCATTTGAGGTACCTAAGGACCCTGTGAGCAGCTGTGAGATGAATATTTGTGGGCTTGTCAACAAATTGGCTTAGTTGTTGAACAGCAAGAGAGATCTCTTGCCTTGTGTTTGTTAGGCATAGGAGTTTGCCAATCATCTTCCTGTACAGTTCAGGGTTGTCAATGAGGGTACCTTCCAGGCAATTAAGCTTCTGACCTGAAATAGCTGGTGTTTTAGCAGGTTTAGCTTCCAGAAACCCATTCTCCTTCAGTATCTCCATAGTGTACTTTCTTTGACAAATATTAATCCCATGAGCTGTTCTGAAGGCTTCAATGCCTAGGAAATAATTCAAGTGGCCAAGGTCCTTGATTTTGAATGATTTGTCTAAGAATGACTTGAGTTCACTGATTTGTGCTGAATCTGTTCCAGCTACAAGTATATCATCAACATATATGAGCAAGACAGTGAAAGAGTTTTCTGAAGTCTTAGTGAACAATGAAGGATCAGCTGTGGATTGTTGGAAACCAGTGGCTTTAAGGGCTTTGGTGAGCTTGACATTCCACTGCCTGCTGGCTTGTTTTAGGCCATACAAGGACCTTAATAACCTGCAGACTTGTTTGGAACTGTTGCTTTGAAAACCAGGAGGTAAGACCATGTAAACTTCCTCCTCTAAATCTCCATGTAGGAAGGCATTGTTAATGTCTAACTGGTGAATATCCCACCCCTTTGCAACTGCCACAGCCAAAAAGGTCCTAATTGTTGTCATTCTAGCAACTAGTGAGAAGGTTTAAGTGTAGTTAACCCCTAGTTGCTGAGTATACCCTTTTGCAACCAACCTTGTCTTGTATCTTTCTATAGAACCAT